TCCAAGGTTAGCACAGCAGGTAGTTTTGTTCGTTTACTCGCTTATCTCCTTGCTGCAATTGAAGCCTGTTTTATTATCTGATTCCTCGAAAAAACTTCGTAAAACATTCGGTTTTTTTCAGATTTTCCGAATGTCTCGATTATTACTACTAGCCCTTGTGGCATTGGTGGCGGCAGAGGAATTCGAATTTGATGAGCCTACGGTAGCACTCATTTACCACTTCGCAGACGAAATTGTCTTTTTCAGGACTGCGGAACTGCTGCTGCACCAGGCCGCGGGCATTGAGCGCAAATTGGCTGATCAGGTACGAAAAATCAATGTTTTCGGGATAGTTTGATTTTATTCCACGGCGCTTTAATGCATATTTCATAAAGGTCTTACTGTTCACAACTCTTGTTTAATAAAAAACTCTTTCAGGTGTTCAGCACCTGTTGCGAGCGATTCGTACCGCCGGAGTGCCGCGGAACCTGCATGTACGAGACGAATGCCATTGAGGCTCGCGTGATCGTGGGTTGTTCGAACGCTTTCTTGCCGGTGTTACGGTCAATTTTTGCAATTTTTATTTTGAAAGCTCCAAATTTCAAATTTTAAGTTCCAATGGTTTCAAATCAAAACATTATTTACCGAATTTCGAAGTTAAAAACGTGACTTTTGAGTTGATGCATTCTATCCAGCCTGCTCGCTGCCGCCTTTACAAGTACCTGCCGGCCGTTGTTCACTGCGCTGCTCAGGTAACAAACGGTTTTTCGGGTATTATATTCGAAATTTTGACACTTTCGCGAACCATTAGATGCTTTTTAACAACTCCGTTATAAATAGCGTCGACGAGCTTTGCATAACTTTGATTTTTTAGACGCACGATAACTCCGAGTGCTGCCGCGCTAAGGGAAGCCACTCTCGGCGAGTCAGTGCATGATGCTCTGCACTCCTCAGGTCAGCTTAAATATAACTTAAATCATGCAGAGATCAAGTGTATCCCTAAGAAATCTATCTGAATATATTTTCTCACCATCGCCCCACCCCATTTTTCCATAATGTGCTAGTATTTTCTGGGCTGCAATCAAAGCCAAAAAATTTGGTCGACTCAAACATGAATGCTGCTAAAATCGTATATCGGGTATCTGCCATCAACATCCAATTTTCAGAAGAACCCCCGCGTTCTGTGGGGCATGAAGAGCCTGCGGAAGGATCTGGTGACCTGCCTCGCCAAATGGGACCAAATCATGCAATGCCACCAGAGCGGTCTCCGTGCTCGCAAGGTCCCCCGACCAACACAATAATAATCAAGCTATTTCAGTGTTGAATTTCTTGGTACATATCATGTTTTGTGGGAATAAAATCTTTTTAAAAAAAGTCTGCTGATAGAAATCTGCTATTTTGCTCTATTTATCGCGTTTTAAAGGTATTGAAAAGTCAGAAATAAAAAATCAATCAAAAATTTCAGCGTAAAAATGAGCTTCCTAAGCGTATTAATGAATAGTTTGTTAGAGACCCGCTTTTTAACCGAATCACCTTTAAAATTAAGAAGTTTTGAGTCCGGCGACCGCCACAGATGATAAATAAATTCCATTGATAGAATTTTCCCATTTTATTAGGTTTTTACAGTATTTGTTATCTTCTACTTCCTATATCCCCAAAACGCCATACCCCATGCATTTCTCAATATGGAGCTGCACTCCGCTGAAAGAGGTTCCCCTGCCCATAGAACTCGAACCGGAATGGCCATTTCCGTTTTTTGAGTTGTCCGTACTTCAACTTCCATTTTCTCTCGTTTTCTGGCCCTCTATCTCTCGCATTTTTTTGCCATCTCCACTGGGAACACACAGCTGCCCCTGGTCATGAGGTAACCAGAAAAATTTTACCATGCAAAAAGGAGGAGGGCTTGTAACCCGTGGCATTCTCCTGACTTTAAACCTTTTATTTTTCAGCATGATGCGCTACCCCTTCCAGGGCTTCTTGATCTTTGCCATTATTGCACACCAGAAGACCCGGAAAAAATGCAATTTGACCGCAAATGAGGTTCCTCAAGGAATTTACAAAAAATTTTATAATCACTTTTGATTGGAAAGGAGGCAGGGAAAGAACAGAATGACTTACCTCTGTTCTTCCCTTGTTATCTGTTTTAACCGTATTTTCTACAGTAACCCGGTCCTGCATTTCTGCAATATGGGCGGCACTTCCTGAGCATCGCTGGTCAAAAGCCTCATAAAAGCTTCCGCGATTCGTGTATTCTCCCCGCTCGAATCAACAGACATTCACCCAATTTTGAACATGGTATTAAATAAGCCCCAATGCAAATAGACAAACAGCCGATGGTCAATGGGGGGACACCGGGGAAATCACGGTCTCTAAAGCATGTTGTTTTCTTAGATGGCTAAGATAGTGTGTAGTTTTGCTACACAAAAGCGTGCATGATAGGGCTGACCCACTTCAAAATTTTTGGGATATTCCGTACAGTTAAAACGTGCATTCGAACTGGTCGTGTGGCCCGTTTCGGAGCGTTCATATTTTGGTACGTTTTGCTACTTTAATTGTCTCCCGCATTTCAAGATGAATATACTTCTAATTGCAGCTAAATTCTTGTTTAAAGTGCATGGTAAGTATCGGATTCGATACCTAGCGTCCATTAGCGCCTGACAGCTACGTAGTGCACCAAGGAGCACGAATTTCCAGGTTCCATTTGACGCCGCGCTTAGTCAGCACAGGTTAGTTACCGTCGAAAAATTTAAAGGGAACGGCAAGACATTTCCTTCGATTTCCACGATATCGATCCCCTGTGGATTTTGCCCTTGCCGTGCGCTGTGCGCGCTGATTTCGCAATCCTTCGTGCCTTTCACCGCGGGTTTCTCCGATTCCTCATACTGCTCTCGCTTTGGCCACCTACGCGAACACCTGTATTCCAGGGGTTGCAACCCATCCCCTTCTTTTTGGGAGAAAAACAAGCTTTGCCCATCCCCTTTAGGGCCTATAGAGCGACATAAAAGCGCTTTGGGAGGATTGCGAACTGCCAAATCGAGCTGGGACCTTTAAGGGAATCATTCCAACATTGTTTTCGCTTTCCAAAGCTCGTTAATCTTCTTTGAAAAATAAAAATCCGTGTTTAGATCGAATCCAAAAGCTTTTAGTGTATCATGTTGTTGCTGTCCATTCTATAGATTGTTGGGCTGTTTGGGTTATGTGGTCCGAAAAGCCGTGCCCTCTGCTCATGCCTAAAAGCCGTGTTTAGGATGGATGTGGAGAGGGGGCAAGAGGTTTGAGAAAGGACTCTAGAGACGGGTCTCCCCCTCTAGCCAATCGATTTCGGGGCCGTTCCGCTCTCGGGTCGTCGAAATTGGGCCCTCTGCTGGGCCTCTTTCTCATTTTCATCATCTCCGTCTGGGATCTCTTGCTCTTACGTGCTCTCTCGTCGAGACCAGTCTAGAAGCTTCCCACGACTCACGCACCCAGGAACACATCCCTGGGAATGTTTACCTGGATTTTGTACCGGGAGCTTACCTAGAAATTTTCGTTTGGTCGAAATCTTATTTTTTATGATTTATGCGTTCTATTTAAAAAAGATTACATCAGAATTGCCAAGAATTGCAAATTTTTACATTTTCAAGACTTTGTAGGACCTCTGTTCCTAAAAATTATCATTGAGCTTTTTACTTAACAATTCCAAGGTTCATTACATTCTAAACTTTTAAATTTTAGATTAAGCCAAACTTTCAATTTAGTCTTATTAAAGTTCGATTTTCTCACTCAATATTTCCAAAATTTATATGATGTTTTCGTATCCCTCCAATGCATTTTTATGCATTTTACATTATTTCTTGCAAAATATCTTTCGAGAAAAAATTGGCTAATTCCTGAGTTTAAATTCAACTGAAAGGTTTCTATCTAATTATTGGCTGTCGATCATCAACTTTTTGTGGAGAAATTAGCTAGTTTTGAATAAGAGGATGGTTAGAAATCGCTGATTTTGCATATTTTCACGTAAATCCCGATTAATTGAAATTTTTCAAAAGGTTGCTTTGTTAATCTACCAGGAATTATTATTAATCCTTTTCCACGGCATACCGAATTTTTCAGAAAATTTTAGCCATATTTCGTACCTTCTGGTTTTTCGTTGGCCTCTGCAAACTTAGAATCTTTCGGCAAGGCCTTGTTCGCTGATAGCCAAAAAATCCCAAAAATAGGCATTTTAGGATTTGCTAAAAATTCTGTTTAATTACCCCAGTTGTTGCTCTTCGTTTATGATTTGAAAGAACCGTTTGAAAATTTCCGCAGCCGGTCTTCGTCCCAAGCCTCCAATTCCACAGCCCAGCTTCAAAAATCCATTAGCGAGGGCAGCCCCTGGCTGGCTCGGGGCGGGTTGTTGACAGGATGCGATTCTAGGGATTTCCGGAGCATTCCGAGGTGTATATCTATTTCGACACGTTAACGAGTCGAAAGAGACCGGGGGATTGGGCTGGAATACTTGCTGAAGGGCAAGGAGGACCCGCACCAGATCTGTAAACAACCCTTCGGAAAGAGTAGTACTATGTCACTAAACTGGATATTTTGATACCTTTTCAAGAAATTTTGCGTTTCATGTCGTAATCGGCTCAAGTTGTCAGTAAGCCAAAATAGTTATGGTAATGCTTCATAGCTCTGACTGTCGTTAACACATTGCTGCTTACCGTTTCTCAACCAGCTAGAGTCCGAAATTTTTTTGGAAAGTTCTAATGGGGGTCTCTTGGCTTTAGCCATGGCTTGGCTGCTTTATTTTATGTAAATTTCTGATTTCTTCGCTTCGGGGCCAGCTGTCTGTGACCTTATCTCCAAACAAAGTAATAAACCGTTTCCTCGGGCCACCTACCGCTATAACTCGGCATTAGTACTACTGCCTTACTATCTACCACCCATTTTGCACCGTTCTATAAAAAATCAGAACTTCAAGAAAAGCGCTATTTTTTAAAAATGGTTTCTAACGGGGGATGGAAATATAATTTGAGGGTCTTTTCGGATTTTCTGCTTCCAACCTTGTATCCGGTTTTTTAAGAATCGGGGGAACGGCCCTTTCCGCGTTATATTTGAAAAAAGCTATTCATTTCAACACATTTCAAACCTTGCTTTTTCGCTGTGCGACCTATCTCTACTGACGGTACGCATGGCACGATCGCCGTAGCGATTGGGAACCAAGAAAAACCGACTTTTACTGCCATATGTCGTGACCGAATGCATCGGTTGAGAGAAATTTCTGCTGCCGGATATTGAAGAGCTTTCGTTCTCCATCCATTTTTTCACATTTTCACCTGTTGACCTTTCAGATAAACCAAGAATCATCAAATTCTTTGCTTTTATCGTATTTCCATAGCCGATTTTTTGCATTGAATCCTGCCACAAAAAATCTAAACATTTTTGTGTTTAATTAATCAAAAAATGAAGTTAATCAAAAAAGCATGTTTGATTAATTTGTGAAAAAGCAATCTTTAATCTTTTTCCAGAAGGTTAGCTCTTCAACTGACTTTTTCGTCAACGGGAGCGGAATATCGGTATTGCATCAAGTCTTCCCCCTCCAAAACTCCAATTCAAACACCTAGCGGGGCCCACTTTCCCAGCGAGTCACGGATTTTCGCAACATTACGCAACCCCCGGCCCAAAGTGCCATCTGGGACAGGGCAAAGGGCAGAGGGCATTTACCTCACCGCCACCAAAAAAGCATGCCGAGGATGATAGACCCCAAAAAGTGGGAGTAATAGACGAGAGGAAAGCTCAAATTGGGCAGACGGTAGTTTTTGGGGGTGTGTGCGAGTGCTGGCCATTCCATTCCCATTCATCGTCATGGCTGTGTGTCTGTTCAACGATCCCCTTCCATAACACATTCCAAAAACCGCCCACCCCCAAACATGCGCCTGGCTCGTATTGATCTTTGGAAGCTCATTATAATGCTTTTCAGGGTCTTTAAGTTTTGATTTTTTGGTGTTTCAGTTCCTGGTTCTCATAGTTGCGCGTAAAGCCTTCGAAACGGCCTTTTTCGCCGATTTTTTTGAGCGTTTTTGGGAATTTTCCGACTTTTTCGAGATTAGTTGTAGTTTTGTGACCTTCATGAGGTCCACGCCATAGTTTTTTTATGGTTTTCCAAAGCTTTTCGATATAATACGTACCTTCAGCAATTTTGCGGCATTTATTGGCATTTTTCTCGTCGATTTTTTTGGCATGAAAGAGCCCTTCGACAGTTTTTCGATGTTTTTGGCGATTTGCACAATTTTTCGAAAATCTTCCGGAGCCTTTTTTGTATGGTGCAAATTTTTTTCCGCATATTCCATTAGCTCCGGCCTATTTCGTGCTACAGATCCCCTTCCCATACCCTTTAGGTGCCACCGACGGCCCGGATGACCTTATGAATAATTAGCACTGGCATCTGGGAATGATGAATGGCTAATGTGAACGGGGAGAATGGCTAAACAGGTTCCGTGTCGTCAAAATGGGTTTTTGGGTGTAGTCTTACGCCTTACTTTTCGTTTTCTGCCCTTCAAAGGTATGTCCTGCCGTTTTTCCACCGTTTCGAGCCTTTCTATTTCCTGCTGGATATCACGAAAGCTTACTTTGTATCAACTGGACGGCGACTAAAACGCTTATTGCCTCCTTAAAATATCGATTCTGCGCTTTAAAAGCTCACTTTTTAAGGTGGCTTATCAAATTTATAGCTATTTAATGCAGGTCTATTATGATTCTTTGCCCATTTTCCGTTAGTAAAGTTTGCCTGAATTTGCTCGAAAATTCTGGAAATACAAGGCGATATTGTTTCTGAACGCCCGAAAATCACTTATCGCCCCACCACAAACTCCCGCAAACAATAAACAATTCCCCGTCATTTCGGGGGGTGTTGAAGGGGCTATAGAATCGATGCGTGGGCGGAGAGTGTGAAATGATTGATTACAATTGTGTCCCCCAGAGGGGGAGACGCGTTTTGTGACATCAAGATGGAAAAGTTGGGTTTTGTCGGCAGGTTGGCAACCAGCTGACCATGCGCTTGATTTTCACTTGAAGCTCCAAAAATTTTTCTAGACGTTTAGGTGAACTTTTAGATAAACCGTACAACTAGGAAGATTTATCAAGATTTGTCCCTAGAAAACCACTTCCAATTAATGTGCCTCCGCTTTTTCGAGTTCTATTTCGCACTCATGATGTGAAAAAAACTTTTTATAAAACTTCACCATACTCTAGCCGGCCGTACTTTACTAGACTATTAATCACACACCAACTGACTTATAAGCCCTGCGGCACTTAGGTTATTAGGTGACTAATCCGGCAGCCAATTCGGCGACCTGAAGGAAGCCCCTTCTTTCTCTAGTTCGGTATTTACTGTTGACCCGGAACATCCTCACGTCTTCACTTATTCTTCGTCTACTCGAAAAATAAGATATGGACTTCAGGAAGTCTATCTGTCTCCTTATTCTTCAATTTTCTTTTTCTGCTGGCGAATTTCAGACGTTTTTGGCTTCAGGAACTTGGTTTCAACGGCTCCATTGAATCCACACTTTCCGAATTTCAGACCTTTACCGTTACGTTTCTCCAATTAATTTTCTGTCCGGAGATTGGCTTAATTAATTTATGAGCTTTTTCAGGAGTTGGGGAGCTATACAGCTAAACGCAACCCGTTTGGTTATGAAAAAACGTCGCCAGCTCGCCAGCGACCGCCAAGAGAAAGGCGAGTTAAATTTGGGTTTTATGATTTTAACACAAACTATACAGAAAAAAATACACTATTTAAAATATAAATTGAGTTATTTAAACACAGCTGAACCTGAAAATTTAGTTGGCTTGACGTTCCGAAACCTTCACGACTAGCGTTTTCATATTTACCAGCATCGGCCACATATCCCATATTTGATTGGGGCTACGTGCGACCGGAAATGGAGGGCCGGGCAAAAACAAATAGAGTGAAGCCACCCCATCCAAGGAATTCTTTTTGCGAAAAAAGGCTAGACCCCTTCACCCAGCGCTCCGCCAGTCTGGCTAGCCACACAAATTTATGGCGCTTTTCCGGGGCGCTCCACTAGATAAAGCGAATCGAAAAAGTGGGATGACGGAGAGTGAGATAGAGTGATGATTCGATCATCCGAATGCTTTTTTGGTGGTTGGGGTGATATGGGATAGTGTGAAAATGATGGATCCGGATTGGAAACCTCGATGATTGAAGATTTTGCAAAAAATGAAGTTTTTTAGGTTATTCAACATATATAAAAATTTAATATGGCACTAAGATGATCCCCAGGGAATTATCAAAAAGTTTTTTGAACTGAAAGCTTGCAAACTCAATTAGTCCAATTTTTTGGGGCGTTTTTCAATTTAAAAAGCAAGGCAATTAAATTAGAAGTAATTAAAGTATATCAGAATAACGATTTCGGTATCTCCAAAATAGTTAACTGACTTTAAAAACGGCTTTAATGACACTTCCTTGACTAAAACAAATCCCTAAACCCCGAAAAAGTGGCAAACGGGAAACGGATGCAAAAGAACGAAAGGTTGGTGTCAAATTACTAGCGGAAAAGTGACGACGGGTCGTTCACGAGGGTAAGGACTTGACCGCGTCTTAATTTTCCCAAACCCGCTACGACCATGTTTAGCTTCAGATGGAGAACGCCGCAATAATAAACAACAGGAGAGCGAGCGGAGTTAAGAAGACTCGGTTCACCACCGACGGCGATGTGAAGGACTGGGTCGACAATAAGAAAGTATGGACGGAAATTAATTTGATTTTTTCAAACCGAAACTCTTCAAAAGCTGCGCTAGCGACTAAAAAAACTTCCTAAACGTTTGCTAGTTCACTCGGATCCCTAAAAGAATTTTGCGCGATGCCTAGCCCTGCTTCCTTAGAAGGAAAGTAAGAAAGGAAAAGGGGAAATTCAAAAAATAAATCGAAATTTTGTATGGGAAAGGTTTATATTAGCATTTTGAAACGTTCGATTATAGGACCACGTCGAAAACGTATGTAACTACAAAAATACCTCTTAAACGTTGTTTCTTGAACCCCAAGAAGCTCTGAAATGGCCTTGCAGGGACATTCATCTACCTTGAAATGAGAAAATGGAACGCTTACTTACGCAAATTTTTACAGATCTACCGACCAGAAGATGGCTTTGACGAGCGGCAAGCTTTGGTGCAAAATGATGGACCGGCAGATGACGGTATTTCATAACGACCAGTTCCAAAATACGCGGTTTCAGTCGAAACCGCATCGACCTCGACATCATCCAGCGATTGTCAACCGCTAGCCCTGGATGGAGGGTTTGGATGGGGTAAGTTTTCCAGCTCTAAAGGACCCAATAATACTGTAAAAACCGCTTAGTTTATTTTTACGTAGAAGGTGTATATGTGGGAAAAACAAAGCAAGTTGAAACTTTTAGTCATCGTGCTGATCTCATTCTTCATCCATTTCATCTGCGATGGGCTGAGCTTCTCGTTTGGAATGATTTATCCGGCGATGCAAGAGGTAAGAAGCCTGACTGTCTCTTCTACTATCTTTCAAATCATACCAGTTATACCAATCAAAATTAATTATACCAATCACATTTTTAGACCTTCGACTCGGCTCGTCTTGGCGCCTCTGTAGTGGCTTCCTTCTACCTAGCAATTCCACTACTTGGAGGACCCATCGCGGGGACCTTAACTGATATTTATGATTGCCGGTAAGCTTCAGAAAGCTATTGTCATTAAACCTGTAATTTTAGCGCCACCACCATTCTGGGCGGTCTCCTCGCCGGTGGCGGCACAATAATAGCGTGGGCCGGCCCGAACAACATCTGGTTTTTTGGCCTTTTCTTTGGGATTGTTACAGGTAAGTAGACTCGAATTCCGTACTCGAACTACGAAGGGTATAATTTTGAGGAATGGGTTTATGTTTTTGCTACAACTCTGGAATCGTCATCGTTACATACTACTTTGAAAAGCATCGCGGGTTGGCTACAGCTCTAGCTGTTAGTGGATCTGGAGCCGGAACGCTGGTGTTTCCGTGGATTATCGAAAAGGTGAGTTACTGATTCTCTCTCCCTCTCGCTCTCTCTCTCTCTCTCTGACTAGCTTACTCACCTCATATCACGAGAAGATTTCTCACTGTTTAGGTGCTCGCCCACTACGACTTCTGGTGGGCCATCCTCCTCTACGGTATCACCTTCCTGTTCCTCGTGCTCCTCGGAATTTGGATGCGCGATGTCGAGTGGCCGAACGAGACCACGGAGTACAAACGGAACAAATTCCTGCGGAAACTCGACAAGATGAAGGAGGACCGGGAGAGCGTTTGGAACGCTGATCTCGCTGGGTTTAACACATTGCTCCCGGTGAGATACCTTAAAGTTGCTAATTTTTGACGTCCCAATTTTGAAACACTTAGACGTCAATTCAAAACGATGTTTTTAGGTGCGAGAAGCGGTCCAAGAACGACCAAGACTCTCCAGAAGTATGCCCGTTATTCCGGTGTATGCTGATGAATTTCTACAGAAAATTGAACCATCAAATTCTATCCAGGTTAGTGATACCCTACCGACAGAATCGTACTTTGGCGTACACGACGTCTGAATGACGATCCACAATATACTCTTTTAGTCAATCCGCCAAGCCGTCCTCAACCTGCAGGACAACGTTACTAGATCAAAATCCTTTGGGTTATTCCGGAACCCGGTCCCCAAACTGGACCTTCCACCGCTTCCGGAAGATGAGGTTTTGACGGCAAAGCTTGATCACCTTGATCTACAGGTAGTTTTCGTCGTCACCATGAGATACCAGATTCTGTTTAGACTTCAACTTCTCCCTACAACACCATCACCTCAAAGAGCAGAACTCGAATGTACTCCAATCACAGTATGTCGATGGATGCGCTCGATCAGATGGAAATTCATATGGGGTAAGAGGAACGCGTGATTGGTTAAATCTTCGTAATAATTCCTGAGAAAATAAAGTCACCTGATCATTTAAAATTTCAGCGCAATGACAGAACTTGGACCCTCATCTGGCTCCAGCAGTGATTCGGCTCTGTCGAATGATGGGGATTCATCGAGTTCAGAGTTGTCGGATCACATTTTGACGAAGCAGGTGGGCACAAGAGAGAGGGAGAGAGATAGAGACAGACAGAAAGACAGCGAGAGAGAGCCAGCGAGAGATAGAGAGGGAGAAAGAGCGGGAGAAAGAGCGAGAGAGCGAGAGGGAGAATGAGCCTTATAAAACTTTAATGTAGTCGAGTCAACCTCGTGAACTCTCCATTGTCCAACCATCAAATGCTCCCGCAAAAATTGTCAACGTCGATAGCGGAATCGTGATGAAGTGGGATCGACAGGGAGTTGGTAAGTTTCAAAGTGAACAGTTTTGATTTCTGCTTTCAGCTGTTAAAGCGCCCAAATTTAGGAATGCCAGGCCAGTTGAACCAGACGGCGCGTGGTATCCGCACATCCATGGTGGCACACTCTCGTGTCCCGGCTAGTAACGCAACTGGTTTAAGGTAGTGGATAACGGCTTCAGGGCTTACGACCGTTTTTCTTGCTTAGGTATATGGCACTCCGAGATTCATTCCGGGGTCTTCGCTCAAAAGTACCATCGGCTCCTACGCTTTTTGTGAAAAAGAAGAAGAAGAAGACGCTGAAGGACGTGCTGCACTTGAAACAGGTAGGGGGCATCTAAAATCGAATAAATATCATTTTAATCTTTGTTCCTTAGGCTTTTGAAAAAAAAAATTGTTACGTTCAGATGAAAACCACGATCACCGACACGGCCAAGGAGTACTGGCGCCTCGCCACGGACTGGCGCTTCTCCGCCTACCTCTTTTCGATCTTTCTGCTCTACATGTTCTATGATATCCCATACGTCAACTTCCCCGAATTTGTCGATGAACATCTTGGAGTTCCGCTCAGCCAGGTACAAAAAATTTTCCTCGTGGTAAAAAGAACTTTCTAGGCTTCAAGTCTTGTCGCCGGTATCGGAGGGTTCAACCTGATTTCAATGTTTTTCTGCGGGTTTTTGAGTGATCGAGGATGGATTAAGGAGGTGAGTAGTTCTTAGCAGTTATATCTATGAAATTGATTATATAATAGAGAGTTACTTGAAAATACAGTATTATTTAGCATCTATTCCTTGTTTACGGAGTCATGATTTCGTTGTGCGGTGTGTGCCTTCTGCTGTCAACGATCGCTCAGGATTACAGATTTATGCTGGTAAGAGAGCGGGAGAACGAGATTGAGGGCGAGAGATGAGAGAGCGACAGAGAGAGTGTGAGAGAGCGAGTGACAGAGCGAGTGACAGAGAGTGAGAAAGAGGTAGAACTAAACCCGATACATCCTTTTCAGGCCATTTCTTGGCTATACGGCTTCTTCATCGCTTCTAACTACGTACTCGGATCCGTGTTGCTCTGTGAGCTGATGTTTGTCTCAGATTTCCAGAATGGATACGGATTCTTGTCGATGACCCAGGGTATCGGGAATCTCATTGGACCGGCGTTAGTTGGTACGTTTTCGAATTGGTGGAACCCAAATGGGCGTTTTCATGAAAATCGGTTATGAACCAGCAATTACAATCATGCTTTTTAAATAATTTAATGTTCTTAAAAGACTTTAAATCAATGATGTTCTAAAAAGGCTTTATGGAAAATAACATTTAATTTAACATTTTCAGGTTGGGTTCGCGATGCTACCAACAGCTACCAAGTGATGTTCATCGTCGGTGCGGTCGGGATGATAATTTCTGGGATCATCTGCATTGGAATCCACGTCTCCTGGGAGGATGAAGATGAGGAGACGGAAAATAGGTCAGTTACTCCTTAAGATTGATTAAAATGAAACCGTTATTGCATGTATTTAGGGCTAGAAACCCTATTGAGCGACGGCAATTTAATTCTTGAGCTAGAAAAGCAACAAGACGCCATTTAAAACGCTTTTTCAATTACGCTGATGCTCCATACTTTCCAAAAAGAACTTAAAAGATAAAAGAGAAATAAATAAATACTAGAAAATTTACAAGGGTTTTTTAGTCGTAAACCTTCGAAGAAACTCTCCACCTCCAATGTCCACAACGCTGAGGAAGGCAAGCTCGATGAAAAACCGAGAAATGGAATTCTTTTGAGCCCATAAAAAGCTTGTAAGATACTTTGATAGCCATGTGATAACCCTCTCATTCTTCATTCTAGGATTTCCCCATGGGTACCCGACCGTGGCTTTATTAAAGTGCATTTTAAATTGTGTTTTATTGTGATTGACCCTTTTTGCATGGCTTTTACATACATATTGTCGAATTTCCCTTTTGATTGGTGATCCGTTTCGATAAGGACTGGTGAACAAAAGAAACGAGTGTTTTTAGCATTTTCTTGAGCGTATTAAACTTTGATTTTGTCGATTCTCCTAGACGAGTGCATTCCTGAGATACGTACCACCTTTTTGTATTTGCCTTTAGTTAATAAATGGTCAAAAAAATCTGCGCATGAAAGCTGGGATCCAGACCAAACACCAAACAAGAATCAAATTCCCAGGAGTCAATCTGAACAACAGATATGGTCTTTTGTTAGCGTTGCGTTTGAATGAGAGCATTCATGGTGGATCAACAGCGCTGTATTGCTCTACATAATCTCAAAATTCTCACCGCTGGGAAACGTAGCGTTTGCAAATCGAGTGGAGGAATCGGAGACCTGGATCTGCCGCAATAAGCGATGCGAGCGTGTTATTATCTGGCCATATTCTTCATATTGCTGGTGGCAAACTTAGATGGAGCGTGCGTAAAGGGGTATACCTTAAATAATTACTAAATACCTAGATGTAAATAACTAAATAAAAAATACAGATAAACACTCTACTGTAAATAAAAAAATCCCGCATTGTCCCGAAACCCTGCCGCCAAAGAGTCGCATAAAAGAATTGATGGCGGCTTCTTGGTATTCAATCAAGGCTAGCTCACAGGACTTCGTCAGAATATCATCATCTAAGAGCTTGACCGCGCTTGACTGTCCACACACTTTGGTAGTACGCTCTATTCATGCCTATCGCCAGGCCATCGGAGCAGACGACGGCCAGCAGCATCATCTCTAGCACCAACACACCAAAAGGTCGGTCATTTTGGTGAGCTGCCCGGTTTGAAGTTATCAAAAAGGTTCCTGAGAAATTCAAAGCAATTTAGCATGCTCATTGTGCACCCAGGACATGCTCAACGAAACACGTAGATACGATGGATCACATGGTTTTGATAATGGTTTGACTTGCGATCTGGCTGGTTTTTCTTGGTCAGACCAATACGAATCGTTTTGTTTTCAGCTACCCTGATAATGGTCGATGGTTGCGCGACGTTCTACCTGGTTTGCGCTAGCCCAAACTCCCACGAGCCGGGCATTGTTGTAAGCCGAAAAACATTCCCTAGCAAAATTGAAGGGGGACACTCTAAGTGCTTATGTAACCAATTCCGTAATTTAGTTCGATATGATGATCGCCACCGTTCCATTAGACGGCAACAAAGCGGCTCTGAGTCTGTGGTGCGATGAGGGCCTGGTCTGGAAATATACTGAGGGCGACCTAACCACCTACGTCACTCAATATGAATGCGCTGATCTGGGTTTCTAAATATTTCTAGAACAACATAAAGTTTTTCATAAGTTTTCCTGTTTGTTAACAAAGTTTACACAATCAGTCGCGAATGACGCAGCTTACAGCTCCTGGAGCCTTTTGTCACAGACAGCTATTTGTCACAGCATCACAAAATTCCAAAGAGAAACGATGCGTTAAAGGGCTCAAAACTGAAAAACCCGCTGAAAGAAACCGGCTGGCAGAAAACAGGGAAAGCCAGATATTTGACTTCTGCGAGCCGTGAACATAAATCTTGGCGCCCGACTCGCCTCGCCTCTCGTAATTTCCTTGCATCTCCGAATTGTTCCCGATGCCACGAGTTTGAGGATGAGGCCTCGAGTCCATGCCGCAGGAACGTTACCGGTCGGACCTTGCCGTCATCTTGGTCTAAACCTGGGTTTCATGGCTACGGTTCCTCTCTCACTCTTTCCATGCCGAATCCGGTGCATCGTGAGCATGTACCCGTCATCGGTGTACACCTGGATCGTCTCACATGGGTACAATATTTAAACTAGAACTTTTTCATAATTTTTTTATCAGTTTGGGGATTTCTGACCACACTCTATCCGAATCCGAAGAGACCTAAGCCTTAGCTCCTTTCCCCTTTGAGTTGAATTCGGCTTCAGACAGACAGACAGACAGACAGATGGACACCACAACAAAATTATTATAGTTGCTATTTATTGCACCGATTATCACTGAAGGCTCGAACTGCAGCAGCAGAATCGTTTTCCATTTGGACCAAACGATCCATCATCTGCGCCGTAGCAGGGCGTCCCGAACGAGTCCAGATTTCCTCTGACGTCCTGGCTCTTCTGCAAATAAATAAATGAAACATAAAAAGGGATTAATATGCCAAAGATAAACATATCAGAAACTATTTTAGTTTTTTTCTTCTTTTTCTTCTGTCCACTTACCTTCAGTTTAGTCCAGAAGACGGCTGCGTCCTCCTTAGAACGTGCTGCTGTTCCGACTTGGACCCGGCCTTCGATTCCACATCCCAGAGCTCCTCCACCGCATGCGAGCGTCGGACGCCAAACGCATGACTGAAAAGGGCATACATATGTACTCGCTTGCGCAACCCCCCGTGTTAGCCTTACTTCGAAAACCCATCCGCCGCTGGACGTAGCGATCATGAGGGTGAGGAGAACGAGCGGCTTGAACATCCTACTATATATAAAAAAAATTAGTGTTTGTGTGTGCCACTTTGCATCCACTGCCGTCTGTCTGTCCGGAGGATATATCGATATGGTCAGGGCTTTAAGGTATGTATGATACATCATTAGGTGCGCAATGGTCTTGGGATGACTGCACACCCATCAGCTTTTACAAAAACAGCTGTTGTCAACATTAAATTTAAGTTTTTGTCAAAACTTCTTTTTTAAAAACAATTAGCATAGACGAATTAATTAGGATTAGACTATATAAAGGGCAGTAGAGATTGTTTTTCATTTTTTTTTTGTCATCTGAATTCAGGAAAATTATGCAAAGTGAAGGATGAAATGGGGTCAGACGGGGCCAAGGTTGAAAATTCGCGTAGCGGCTTTTCAACCCTGGTATTCTAGAAAAGAAAAAGTACCTTATTCAGTTTCGGGCTGAGGTAAACATAATTGTATCTGAATAAATAGAGCTATGTGATTAAATAAGGGGACAGCAGACGAGAGGTTTCAATGGATGTATCTTTATTTTTTGGGGCATGCGGAATGCGTAGACACAACAATCGCACCACAAGGCGCCCAACCTGATTCATATGGGGGCCGTCAGACAAAATATTGCCTTGCGCTACACGACATTTTAAGACAGCGAGAATCTGTATTTCGACCAGATGGTTGGAAATGGGGGTCGCTATGGGGAAGGGGAGACAGGGCAGGGGCTTTCCGCGAGAGGGGAATTTCGGCAGGAAATCGCCTCCCGCGAACGAAATTATGTCAATTTCTGGCGATTCTTTAATTTAATTATGAAAAATCAAATCGGCAAAAATCTAAAAGTTTTTAGACTACTCTTCCCCCCGGTATACATGGACGAAAATCCCCTTCAAGTCGTTGGAACCGATGTTGCGCGTGTTTGCGGACGGTCTGGGTTGTTTAGGTAATTTTCCGCGTGCTTTTGGATGATCTGACGAGTTTTAGAAACCGATCCGGCTTCACGCGACTATAGCCGCAGCCTGCAGAAAAGCTGGCGGAGGCTGCTGAGCGAATTTTGGGGAAGGCAAGAAATCTTCGAAGAGGTCGAGAAGCAGAAGTGCTTCAAAGTGCTGCTGGAGAATGACGTGCGTTTGAAGCTACCTTACCGATGGGATGTAATCCGGACGTGTGTAATCTCTAAATTTCAGAATCTCTAAATTTCAGAATCTCTAAAATCCAGAATCTCTAAATGTCGGAATCTCTAAATTTCGGAATCTCTAAAATTGGGAATCTCTAAATTTCGGAATCTCTAAATTTCTTTGTACAGGAGCCCATACAGAGTTTGGCGCAAATTGAAACTGTAATGCGCTGTTACCCAAAGACGCCTCTGAAAACTTTTTCTGGGGTAGTTTTTTGGCGTTACACGAAAAACGTAGATGCATTTCCATAGCGCCATTTTTCCGTGCTTGGTTACAACTGTTGTCTTCAAAGCCCAAAACTTGGTTTTGCTATAAGCAATTCATTTTGAATTTTTGTGATTCGTGGTTACGTTTTTCGTGATCAGGGCAAAAAACTACCCCAAAAAAAGTTTTCACAGGCGACGTTGAGTAAAAGCGCCATATACAGTTTCAATTTGCGCCAAAAACTGTATGGCTTCCTGAACCGATTTTTATTTTTAGAGATTCCGATTTTTAGAGATTCTGATTTTTAGAGATTCTGATTTTTAGAGATTCTGAAATTTAGAGATTCTGATAGGGCGGCTTCGGCGTTGCTGAATGCTGAATCATCATCTCATCTACATCGAGCCACCCGCTCATTATGTTCATGATGGTTCGAAACGATTTTTGTGATGAAGATATGATTTTTATGGAATTTTGCGAGCATCGTTCGATGGAAAATTGTGAGTTCTTATACAGGTTGTCCCAAATCTCCCCCCTTACCTAGCCGGCCACAGACTTGTTCAATTTTTACTTTTTACGATTTAGGTATCAATCGAAACCTCTCGGAAATCGATTCTCAAAATGTTGAAATTTTTTACCATTCACTCACGCTTTTGCAAAACCAGCGGCTTTTCCGACGTTTTTCTAAACAAAGGGTTTTTACAAAATTTTTTTGTGCAATTTAAGAATTTGTGCGCCTTTCATGGCAGCCCACGACGGCTTTTTGAAAAACACAGCTGGAATAGCGCTAAACCGATTAATTTGCGTTTTGGAGAAACACGTGGGCTTTTTGCATGAAAAATGCCAAAACTCGAGCAAAAAATTTCGACATTTCGAAAATCGAAAAGCCGTGCTGGACTCGCATTTTCCAGAGCCTTCGATTGATACCCAAAACCGTAAAAATCGAACAGCACTTTCCAGCATAAATGGTTTGTTTCGCCGGCTCGTGAGACATTGTGTAACGGGGGTATTGATTTTTTTTTCGTTTGCGACAGAGCCAGGTAGGAGATTTTTCTCTTGGCCAACATCCAGCTCGGAGGGCGGAGGATTGCCCAATTTATGCTGCAAGAAAAATACCAACCGGAGCAAAACAGCGCACATCGATTTTTCTAAACGGCTGTGTACTTTTCCTTTTGGTTTCCTTATTTGGGAGTGACGATAATAAAATATGTGTTTCGACAACACGATGTCAGATAGGTTTTGAGCCCTTGCTAAAATTTTTTAGTCATACGCAGGCCCGTCCGAAATCGGTCGAGGTCCGAAAAGTTCATAAGGGTAATAAAGGTTCATAAATTCACCTTTATGTTTTCTTATAAAATTTTCTCTCCCTTGCAGCGCTGTTCATTACTGTTTTCAAAACAGTTTTTACTCCTATGAAGCCTATTTTTCCAAAATTTTTCGCTGACGCTGGTTTTTCATTAGTGCATAAATTGTCCATAAAAAATTTTCGCCTCGGGCGCGTTTTCTGTGGTCTTTTCACACGGATTTGAGCGTAAGTATCAGGTTGGAAAGAAAGTAATGGCACAAAATCTTTAAACCGCTGTAAAAACCCGCAGGAACGTCCGATTTGAAAGTTTGATATATGGTTTGGTAGATCTTGGGATGCTCTATCACGAAACGACCCTCAAAACACCCAAAAACTAATGTACGGGAAAATACAGGCCTCAGAAGTTTCACGGAAGATTAGGTGAAAGCTTCTAAGCGAGATATCTCTGCATACAAGCATTTGCATACGATACCTTTAACACCAATCGATAGCCCTCGAGGAGTAGATACCGATAGATGTTGAGATCATCAAAATCGGACACGGGATGGCCAAGATATGGCCCCTAGAATTTTGGTCCACCTGTTAGAACTTTTCTCGAAATCCCATACATTTTGGCCTGCGCGAGCCAAAAACTGCTGCGTTTGCTTCAGCTCCGAACCAAAATCCAGAAAATGCATTGATTTTGGAAGGTCCATATCTTGGCCATCCAGTGTCCGATTTTGATGATCTCAACATCTATCGGTATCTACTCCTCGAGGGCTATCGATTGGTGTTAAAGGTATCGTATGCAAATGCTTGTATGCAGAGATATCTGTTAGAAGCTTTCACCTAATCTTCCGTGAAACTCTGAGGCCTGTATTCTCGTACGATCAGTTTTGGTGTTTTGAGGGTCGTTTCGTGATAGAGCATCCCAAGATCTACTAAACCATATATCAAACTTTCAAATCGGACGTTCCGGGTGGTTTACAGCGGTTTATAAGATTTTGATGCCATTACCTTCTTTCCAACCTATGATATATGGGTCGAAGCCCGGGGCGCCGCCAGAGGCACCCCCGAGGCACCCCCTGGGGGTGTGCCGAGTGGCGCCTGTGGCGGCGCCTGGGGCTGACCAAAAGACGCCGGAAAACCGAGATGCAAAGCAAAGATGCGGTGTTATTATGGAAATCAGATTTGACTGCTGATCCTTAATATCAAAGAAGGCAAAAACTATTAGTTGATTGGCCTATAATTTTTCCATGATCCTTTCGCATAGTAGAGGAAGGGGTGTTTATGGGGACCAGCTTTTTTCTAAGGACCTTGTCCTGTAAAAGAAATAGTGGAAGCTTTCCAAACTGTTGTTATTATTCTTAAACGTAAAAACTTTACCAACTGTGACTTAAATACAGAAAAATATAGATTTTTCTGCGAAAAATTGCCGATATTTCCAACCTCACTTCCAATTTCGAAATTTCCGCCTAAAATTCCTTCCAATTTTTATTTTTTCCACCTAAAAGATAGTTAAATTTTACTAAAACATTATTAAAAGGCTGACTATTACGTTGATGGGCTGTTCTGAAGTGCAAGAGGAAAAGTTATTTGCAGGTTCTCTCTACTGTCCGTCGCTCTTGCCCTTGAAATGAATAATTAACATTAGACTAGAAAATTTGCATAATCTCACAGGCGCCGTTGGTGACGCCCCCCGCCCCGTTAAAAATGATAGGGGCGGCGCCCCAGGCGCCACTCGGCACGCCCCCCAGGGGGTGCCTCGGGGGCGCCTTTGGCGGCGCTCCCGGGCTTCGACCCATATATAAGCGTAAGCAACGTCGTTTTCTAATTGTTTGGGCTGCCACGCTGTTATTGCTGCCATTTTCAGATGTTTTAAAATTGGCGACGGGGTCACCCAAAATTTTAACTTGGCTTTTAACGAATGGCTTTAAAACCACCTACTCAGTCCTAGTATGGAGAAGCAACAACCGCCACTGAAAGAACCGCTGAGCTCCGGTGGCTTTGGTGAGGTTTACAAGCTGAACCTCTATCCGAAGTAAGAAGCTATTCTTTGTCAAAACGCCCGTTTAGGCCGATAGTCGTGAAGGAGCTGTATCTTGAAAACACCCGATCCGAGTGGCAGCACGAACTAGAAACCTTGAAGAAGCTGGCTGATATCCATATTGTCAATTACATAGAGCCGCCCGAGGGTTATGTCCCGGACGACCCTAAACGCTTCTTGATCTTCATGGAATATTGTGAGCATGGCTCAGTGGTAAACTGTAAGTTTTTTATCATAAGAACCAGCGCCCGAAACCCGCTTCGTGGGCCTTGGGCGCTAGAATGCGGCCTTTGCATGAGAAATTTGACTTTCCGATAGCTTAGGTCCTTCGGACCCCTCCCTTCATCCGACCACACCCGCGCGTGCAACTTGCAAGAATGAGGAAATTTGTATTTTTTGGAATTATGCAAAGTAGCCCTCCCTGGCGCCGGACACACACACACACACAAAGATACGCGACCAAATTTTTATCATAAGAATCTAGCAAGCCTTTCAAAAGCAGAAATTCTGACGCAACTTTTTCAGTTTTGATAAAACCAGAATGGTTGTACTCCGTGACAACAGTCGTTGCATGGGCTAGGGATTTATTCATGGCGCTCGTATTTCTGCAAGAAAATAACATTGTCCATTGTGACGTCAAGCCGGCGAAGTAAGTTTTGTCGGTAAGCCTCGCAGGGGCGTAGCTAGAAAAAAGGCTCCGAAAATTTTTGGCCTTATTTTTGGCGGGCGTCCATATAAACCAGAAACTCAAACTCATTTTTTTTGAAAAATTTGATATGGTTCGTGTATGGTAATGTGGTATCAACAAAAGGCAAACGAATTGAAACTGGCTATTTTTTTCCGGGCTTTGTCAGGTGCGTGGTGGGGGATGGCGGGCTCCTGGCGCCTGTATTACGCTATGCCCCTGTAACCTCAATACGTTGTAAATAATTGCAGTCTAATGATTACCGACCAATATGACCTAAAAGTTGGTGATCTCGGCATCAACAGGGAAGCCGATAAAGGGACCCAAGCTGCTGCAACCCCAGAATATATGGCGCCGGAACTGTCTAGTTTTTATCGACGGACGATGAGCCATGAGGTAGAAGCCTTTCACCTGGTGAAAATCCTTTAGAGTCGTTTTAAACGGGATATCTACGCGGCCGGTATTACGATCTGGCAAATGTTTAGTAGAAGGTTCGTTCGTTGGCCGGAATGGTGTTCATTACTGGGCTATCAATTTTTAGGCAAAGTTTTTCAGCGAATTTCCATGTCGAGACTTTCTGCAGCTACCCCCGCCACCAGTTGACAGTTCGGAATGGCAGCTTTTGGCCGAGACTGCCAAGTAAGGCGAGGATGTGGCTTTTTATAGAGATTCTTACTAGGTGCCTTAAGCCGCTCCAAAAAATAGACCAAGTGCTGCCGAAATGCTTCAATCATTTTTGGATTTAGTAAGTGAAGCCTTTAAACTGAGATTTGAGTCGCAATTTTATAAAATTGGTCCGGCGATAGGTTTGTTCAGTTTATTGATTACCTCCTTTATCGCCCTAAGTACTTTAAATAGGTTGATGCACTAAAGAGAGAGAATTTGCGCGCAAACGTGGTAAAATAGTCCGGTGCCCTTACTAGAAAACTAAACGATATAGAACCGGTTTAGAAACTTGAGCGGGCAAGGTTTCCGTGTTGGTTCCCGATCACCAATTCTTTCAGGAGTTCGAATTCGATGGCCCGGAGTGGCGGCACAAAAATACAACGCTTTATCAAGTGGTGGGACTTGATGGAAGTCGCAATGAGATTCCTTTGCGAAGCGGGAGGCGAGGTCACACAGGCCTAACACCCCCGCGTGGATTTACCAATAGTTCGTCCGTAAGCAGCACTACGGTTAGACCACAGGAAACAAGTGCGGCGTTAGAATCCTCAGAAGAAACCAACGCACAAGTCGTACGCTCCAGAAGATTCCCGAAATTCGCAGCATGGCTCGAAAAATTTTATATCTGGCCGGAATTTGACGCAAACATATTAATGTATGGCATTACGGACAACACCAAAGAAAGTGACGGCCGATACGCTCTTATCCCCTTTCAATTGCTTGATGATCAACTTATTGGGGAAGACGCGTTTCTGTATCTGCCGGACCGGATTATACAGTACGAAGACATCTGCATGTGGCGCAAAGAACTCGTTATTGAATTCAAAAAAAAGTTGTCCGCAATGGAAAAAGCGCAGCTCGATGCGACATGGGATAAATGGGAAAGAATGTTGGAAATCCGAGATGCATGCATTTACGGCTATACGAACATCGTGGAAAGCTCAGTGGTCGCAGCTTTTCGTGGTTTGCGTTTGACGCCTGAGGGGAGTGAGCTGATTTTAATCCTTGAAGAAAAAATCAGGGCTGCCTGCCTCCTCTTTTCTTTCCACATTTTGTACCCACCAAACGCTCAGCTGCTTACTACAAATGAATGGGCAAGGCTCCTAAAAGTAAGCTTTTTAGCCACGCGGGATGATTTTGATCGTCGATTTTTAGCAGGGATTTTTAGATAGCTCAGAAAAACGTCGAGCGGTTTTCTAAACTTCCTCCGCGTCGTATGCAGTTCGCTATAAACTCTGTGGCGGGTTCACGGGAAGAATGGTTGCGAATTGGGTGCTATCTTGTCCGGACAGATCTCGCCGAAATCCGCCCTTATGAGGCTGAACAACAAACGTTTCAAATGCCACAAATCTCATGCTTCTCGATGGAGGCTCTGCGCCGGCTTTTCGTCACAAAAATACGCGTCGCTGAGCGCCATGCCGAATTGGAGAACCTTTGCTCGAGTATGGATCCGGAGGAGACCGAACGCACCGAAATGGCATGTGAGATGGCTGCCGACATTCTGGGTGACGAGCCGGTGCCGGGCTACTACTTTTCGAGCAGAATGCCTCCGATCCCAACGTTGGTCCGAAAAATCACCAATCATTTTCTTTAGAGCACAAAATCAGAGAGCTATGCATTTCAATCATGATAAATGGCTAGTAGGAAATTGTCGATATTCTAAATCAGGTAGGCGGCGCGCTCAGGAAGCTAAGAAAAAAAAGTTGAATGCTATCATGAGGGTGCTGAAGAAACAACTTTTCAGACTTGAAGATCTTGACGCAGAAGCACGAGAACTATTTGAAGAGTTATTCAGTGTGCGAACGAGCTCTTCGATATCTTTCTAACTGGAAAAAGCTCGAGGATTTTCCCCCGATGGGCTTTTTAATCCGGGAACTCTTGGAGGAGATTGAGCGGATGGGGCCGGAGCTCTATCCATATTTTTTCTTTCAACTTCGCTCTACGGTCTGGAACGAAGAAATACAACTTCTCATTTCTCCGAAAACTCAGCGCTGGGGTAAACCTCCATCCGGGTAGTTTAGTGATTTTTAGAGAAGGACCGCTGGTTAGAAGAAGACTTTGCAGTGTGCGAAGCCCAAGAATCAACCGTAACCGATGCTGAAAGCACAGGTGGTGAGACGCCTTTGCCATATATAAACTACAACTTATGGTCTACAAACATGTTATCGTTTTAGACACATGCCACAAGGTGATCCGCTTGATGAAAGTCAACATAAGAGCTTTCATACCACTGCTGCGACACGTTGTCTCCAAGCAAAACATGCCTCGCCAGGGCGTACGCTGTAAGTTCGAGGAAAAAAGCCTGATTGTTCCAAAAGGACGGGAACATAGAACCATTAATTTTTAGTCGAGCAGCGGCAAACCCGTGCCGGAATAACCGGCGCTAGCTCGGAGCAAAAAATCCATTATATGCCCAATTTTCAGCAGGGCTTCATTCAGACGACGCTAGTAAAGCGAATGTTCGAAAAGCCTATCCAGAAACGATGGCAAATTTGATGCAAGCCTTTTGGGAAGGGCAGCAGCTGTATGAAAAAGATTATGGGACCCATGAACTCAAAATATGGGTTATGTGCCAACTGGCTGTGGGACCACAGGAGAGCCGCTGGAAACTACACGAGACAAGGCACTTCAGGTAGAAGCATTTTCGGATGTTTTGGCGCCTTTGGCCCGCACAACTAATGAAACCAAACTCGGTCCATTTTTCATCTTGTGGACAAGAACTTATTGGTGCTGGCTCAGGGAAAAGGGTATTTGCAGGTGTGTTTGCCGGGGTCGGGGTGCAACGGCCCTTTGCCTGCTTCCAAAACTTGTGATTCAGTCGTTTTTGTTGCCTGTGCCCAGGCCTGGGAGTTTATAGGGCCGGCCCGGGCTGGCCCGACATAGGTGACCGGGAAAAAAGAACGATTTTGAAGAAGAAAGAAAAAAGATTTGCATGCGACAATGTAAGGATATTTGCTATTTTTTCACTGGCTTATCCTACCTTATATAATTTGGTCGCGTATCTTTGTGTGTGTGTGTGTGTGGATGTCACTTTCGAGGCCCGATTTGAGGGCCTTCCCGTGTCCAAAATGCCCTAATTCTCCGTCACCCGGGAGAATCGACCCTCCTCTTTCCGATGGCGCTTTCAGAATCCCGATAAAATACAAGGTTACAAAGTTAAAGCCGGTTTTATTGATTTTTGGGGGTCCGGGAGGGTAATTTGCATAATGTGAAAAAATACAAATTTCCTCATTCTTGCCAGTTGCACTCGCGAGTTTGGTCGTCTCTTTGGATCTGACTCTCGATGCCTTGCCTTCCCCTGCCCCGGGCAGTCCTCTTGAGGCATAAAAGGGGTGTTTGGCGCGTGCTGCCAAGCATTGCATGGTGTAGTGGTTAGCGCTTCGCCCTGCTAATCTAACCACCGGAGGTTCGATCCCCGGATCTCTTAGTTGTTTTGCTTTTTGCTCGGAAAAGGCTAACATGTAGAGGTTGTCAGGTCACAAGCTCCAAACCGGCTGAAAATTGGTGGAAAAATCGAATAAAATACGGGGAACACGATGCGATAAAAATTATCTGCTAATGGGCACTTTTGTTTAATAAACTTTTAATTTTAAGATTTTGTATGGAAACCCCACCTAGAATCGCAGCGAGCCTGGCCAGAACCGGGGCGCGCAGGCGCGAGCACTTGAAGCGTCCCCAAGAGGCCCTGCCCCGTCGGCCCGGTGGTGTAGGGGTAGGGTGCGGGGAATTGTAGGCCAAAGGTCATGGGTTCGGTTCCCGCATTTTTAATTTTTTTTTGCTTTTTGCCGTTTTTGCTTTTATTTTGTAGGGAGCGCGTCTAGAATAGTTATTATAATGTTTTTCGGTCCTATTAATCAGTTGCGGCCGCCTCAACAAAAAAATAAATTACAAAATGTTGGAAGTTTTTGCAAAAAAGGCCTACCTACCTATTCCGACTCCATGAAAATCGACAGGATAGTTAATACAGATTACCTTTTGTACAGGTATTGTAAAGAGGCAGTCATTATCGGAATCTGGAATCTATGGGCTCTGATTTTAAACACCTGGGGCCAGAACTAACTATTTTAAGCAGCTGCTAACCCAACTAGCGGCCAAAGCTATGCGATAGGTCGTCAAAATTTTCCGGAAAAAATTTTTTCAAATAAAATTTTTTTTCGGGTGTGGGAAGGTACCTAGTGTCGTACTTTCCGTGACAATCCGATCGAAACATTTATTCCGAGACGGAAAGCCCGGTTAATCCGCTGAAAGTCCATTTTACCTTCATTTTTCTTACTTAAAATTAAAAGTTTATTAAACAAAAGTGCCCATTAGCAGATAATTTTTATCGCATCGTGTTCCCCGTATTTTATTCGATTTTTCCACCAATTTTCAGCCGGTTTGGAGCTTGTGACCTGACAACCTCTACATGTAAGAATAAGGTAAGAGTTTACTTTACCCCCACAGCCGAAGGGTCTGAAATTTTTCGGTAATTTCGCTTATTTTGTCGGGATTTTCGCAACGCCATTCGATAGAGCGTCGAAAAATATACTAAGAGTTTTAATTTGAGCCTACAATAATGTAAAATAAAAAAGTTATAGCCAAAAACTTCCGGCTGGGGGGGGTAAAGTAAACCGTAGCCAAGAATAAGAATAAGAAGGCCCAAGCTAGCCGCGCAAGCTAGCGCCGCAGGCTTTAGAACGAAGTTAGCCGCTGAAGCTAGCGCCGCAGGCTTTAGAACGAAGCTAGCCGCACAAGCTAGCGCCGCAGGCTTTAGAACGAAGCTAGCTGCTCAAGCTAGCGCCGCAAGCTTTAGAACGAAGCTAGCCGCTCAAGCTAGCGCCACAGGCTTTAGAACAAAGCCAGTCGCTGAAGCTAGCGCCGCAGGCTTTAGAACGAAGCTAGCCGCTCAAGCTAGCGCCGCAGGCTTTAGAACGAAGCCAGCCGCTCAAGCTAGCGCCGCAGGCTTTAGAACGAAGCTAGCCGCTCAAGCTAGCGCCGCAGGCTTTAGAACGAAGCCAGCCGCTCGAGCTAGCGCCGCAGGCTCAGAACGAAGCTAGCTGCTCAAGCTAGCGCCGCAAGCTTTAGAACGAAGCTAGCCGCTCAAGCTAGCGCCACAGGCTTTAGAACAAAGCTAGCCGCTCAAGCTAGCGCCGCAGGCTTTAGAACGAAGCCAGCCGCTCAAGCTAGCGCCGCAGGCTTTAGAACGAAGCTAGCTGCTCAAGCTAGCGCCGCAAGCTTTAGAACGAAGCTAGCCGCTCAAGCTAGCGCCACAGGCTTTAGAACAAAGCCAGTCGCTGAAGCTAGCGCCGCAGGCTTTAGAACGAAGCTAGCCGCTCAAGCTAGCGCCGCAGGCTTTAGAACGAAGCCAGCCGCTCAAGCTAGCGCCGCAGGCTTTAGAACGAAGCTAGCTGCTCAAGCTAGCGCCGCAAGCTTTAGAACGAAGCTAGCCGCTCAAGCTAGCGCCACAGGCTTTAGAACAAAGCTAGCCGCTCAAGCTAGCGCCGCAGGCTTTAGAACGAAGCCAGCCGCTCAAGCTAGCGCCGCAGGCTTTAGAACGAAGCTAGCCGCTCAAGCTAGCGCCGCAGGCTTTAGAACGAAGCCAGCCGCTGAAGCTAGCGCCGCAGGCTTTAGAACGAAGCTAGCTGCTCAAGCTAGCGCCGCAGGCTTTAGAACGAAGCTAGCCGCTCAAGCTAGCGCCGCAGGCTTTAGAACGAAGCTAGCCGCTCAAGCTAGCGCCGCAGGCCTAATAACGAGACTAGCAGTTCAAGCTTGCACCGCATACCAATACAAAGAGCCGACATGGGAGATGCGTTTTTTTTCTTCAGGCTAACTTTATGTGGAAGGGCACTCGATTCTTAGGGCCTGGACGGGATCCAGCGGGGGAGAGTCGCGAAGCGGCTCCTCCCCCGCTGGTACATTAATAATATAACGGGACAGGCTTAGGCTTAGGCTTAGGGCTTAGGGTGTACTCAAACATGTGATTCAAAAGATTGTCTCTAGCCGATGAATCGGCCGCCGAAGCTCTTTACGCTCGTATGTTTCACCTTTTGGCCCTAGCTGCTTCGAAATCATAGAATTTTTTGATTTCCCCCATCTTTGTTGTTATAACGATTTGGCTTTCCGTTGATAAAGTACTTTTTGGTGTTTAGTGCCACTCAAAAAGTAATGTATCTTGTAATTAAATTCAAATGTTTGCATCAGCCTTATTAAATCTAGCCTATAGTTTTGGATTTAAAATTATCCTTATATGAAAGGGTCATCTGCGGTTGTTTGCGGCATATGTGGATGGACATCTTTTATCTCTTATCACTGCTGTGGGTCTCCTAGAGAAAGGGAAGCAAAAAAGTAGGGCCGGCCCAGGGCCGAGCTGGGCCGGGCCGGGCCGAAAATTTTGACCTTAGGGCCGGCCCTTTCCCAGGCCTGCCTGTGCCATTTTACGCCGACTTTCTATGAAAAAGGCCTTCGGCAACGACGTTCACACAGCTTAGTCTGGACGTATAAAAACTTTCGAGAGGACATAAGGATAATGATTTAGCCTGATCGAGCAGACGGAAGAGCTTCTTGGCTGCGGTTCATCGGGCTCTCAATTCTTCAAGGTGGCACGCCCATTGCTCCCGTAGGCAGAGCCAGTAGACTTATTGATAATCCGTATTTAGGACCATCGTGGTGAAAAAGGTGCCCGGAAAAACTCATGCCGCTCATAAAGAGGAATTGGAAGCCTTGCGGGCGCTGAAGCATAGAAACATTGTAAAAATTTTTTTGAAGGGACCCTGCGATTATGCTCGCCATGATCCCAATAGCTTGTTGCTTTTCATGGAATTTTGCGAGCACGGATCAGTCAAAGATTGTAAGTGTAATTAGCTGTACGCAATGGGTGCTTAACAAATCTAGTGTAAATCCACCAAAGAGCGGAAGCTAATTTGTGAGTGATCCGGTCCTTTTGCATAAGAACGGGAGCTCGGCAACCTAGAACCGGATGCTGCAACCCGTATTTATGCAAATCTGGCAAATTCGAGTGGAACTGTAGCTTTCGCGTTGCACGCACTTATTTGCAGCATCCGGTTTGAGTTGAGCAGGGTTGCACTCATGCTCTTTTGCCGAAGAGTCGGCTTAAGAACAGGGGCTGAGCGGGAGCTGAAAATATCCAGCTACTGCTCGCTCCACAGACCTCCCGCTCAGAGCCGGCTCTCAAAATGATCAACCCTGACCATATACAATATTTCTTCTAGTCATTGTCAAACCACAATGGTCGTACACGGTGGCAACTGTTGCAATGTGGTCTCGGGCGCTCTGTGATGCGCTAGTCTTTCTGCACAAAAACGGTATCGTTCACGGCGGCATCAGACCGGAAAGGTAAGATTATCTAGTAAAACGAAAATTTGCCTCAGCTTGTTGATTACGGGGCAATATGTACTGAAACTAAACGCCCCGCGAAATCCCTGCGATCGGGCTCGTCGGCGTAAAATTGAACAAATCGGTTATCAACCAGAGGAACCCGGATATGTAATCGATCAGGTAACGAACGGGCAACGGGAAACCACGCGACCTTAGAATTTTGTACCTAACTGTAAGGTGTTTTTACTCAAGTTGGAGTTTAGATTCGGGACCAAGTGCAACTTGTGCAGAATTTTTCGCTGATTCCGAATCCGCTTTCCAAATTTGCTGCGGACTTTCATTTTGAAAGTTATACAGCAGTTATGGTTGTGTTTTTCACCAAAATCAAGGAACCATTATCGTTTTCGATTTTCCTGATCAATTTCAACTTCAAAATTGGCTAGAGATTGGCTAGACAAGCATCTTAAAAGTCAAAACAAGCTTTTTATAAAAAATTAAATTTTTTTATGCAAAAAGCAAAAGTTAGATGCAGGGCGGGGATCCGAACCGCCGCCCCACGCTTGGCAAGCGAGTACGTTGCCAATACACCATGGTGCCAACCGGGAGGGGAGCTGTGACCGAGTACTTCAGGGCCCCTGGGAGAGGCCGAACCATGGAGGGAATAGTGGACCAGGATCCGAATTTTTGGCTTTTTCAAGCTTAATTTGCACCAAAAATGACTTTTTAAATAAAAGTCCGCAGCAAATTTGGAAAACGGATTCGGTATCAGCAAAAAATTCTGCACAAGATGCACTTGGTCCCGAATCGAAACTCCAACTTGAGTAAAAACACTTTACAGTAAGAACCATTGCGCAAGTTTCCAAGCAGGTTTTGATGCATTAAAGGGCTGCAGAAAGGTGGTCCTTCGGCCCTGCCGGGGGGAATGTTTGGCCTACTAATATGCAGTGGGTTAGGTTGGTGGTGGACCTGGGCCTGGTTACAGATTCCAAAACAGCTCGAAATTGGTGGAAAAATCAACTAAAATACGGTAAAAACGATGCGACAAAGATCAGCTGCCAAAGGGCAGTTTTTTTTGCATAACTGTTTAATTTTCTGCACAAATGTATTTTTGGCTGCTTGACGGGGCCCCCTGGCTCGAAAAATCGGTTTGATGAAATTTTCATAGCAGCAATGGCACTAGGCACCAAAAATTTGATCAGCAAAAAAATTTTTCACAAAAATCTGGGCGACCTAAACCTAGGTGTTTCTGACACCTAGGCCCTCACAACTTCTACATGTTAGGATAAGTTTCCACAGCTGCGACAGTCGAAACTTGCGCACTTATGGATGGAAATACCGGTCGGAGAGGTGATAGGATCTCTCCTTAAAGACCGTCAGAACGATGAAATATCGTTTAGAGCAAGAAAGTTGCGCACCGGGCGGGGGTCGAACCCGCGATGGTTCGCTCCACAGTCCGACGCGCTAGCCACTATACCACAGGGCCAAATAGGGAAGGGAGTCATAGGCGCCCCAAACCCCAGAGGGTCTTTGCCCAATACGGAAACCAATGACGACCCTCTCTGCGCGTTCTTGGGGGCAGCACCCTCGGGGTGACAGTGTGCGTTCCATCGTTCTGGTAGTCTTTAATACCGCGATGCCCCAAAAGGAGCGCCTCGGGGCAACTAGCGCCTCGATAGTTGCCACACGCCGGTACGTCACCCCGGCGGACGCCGGGCCAACTTTCGGCAGCCCTTTAAGGTGCACGGTGTGACGGCATATCCGACACAAGGCATTTAGCTCCTCTTCAAAAGAGAAAACTATGAGGCTACTCGGACCATTTGGATGATGGTGGATAGAAGGTCTGGTAAATTCGCTTGATATAGGGTCCTACTTGGGCCTCACAATTCGGGTGTTCCTTTAGAAGTCCAGCAGAACTGCCACGACATATCGGCTTTCTACCAACGGATGATACACCAGAGCGAAAGATCGCCGTGGTTGTGTTAGGGTAAAACCAGACATGGCAAAACGGCCGCCGCGGCCGGCCGGAAGCCGCATGCAAATTTTTTTCACGGCCGGAGCCGGCCGCAAGCCGCAAAAATTACCCACGGCCGCAGTCGGGCCGGGCCGTAAAAACGACCAAGCCGGCCGCTGCTGGCCGCGGCCGTTGCAATAGACTAGGCGTTTCCTTTTTTGAGAAGACATGAGAAAACGAGAAAACATGAGAGAGAGAATGAGAAACAAAACCGTTATGAGAAAACATGCAAATTAGTAAAATGCAACTCGAGATCCTAAAAATAGGTCATTATTTTGGGCAGGGTAACGGCCGCGGCCGGCCGCGGCCGGCCAGACTATCCTTGGAGACGGCCGCGGTGGCGGGGATTTATGCTAATTTCATATCCGGTCGGCCGCGGCCGACCGGAGGAAGCTACGGCCGGGCCGGCCGGGCCGAACCGCGGCCACTTGCCATGTCTGGGTAAAACTGGGAAACCCGTCCCCAAAACCTCAACAAACCAACTCGCTATATGCCAGAGTAACTTTTTAGTTGCGATCCGTGGGAGAGGGCCGGACCCCAATCAATGCTTGAGTCGTTTCGGAAGTTGGTAAATTTGGGTATGCAATCCAGGATCAACCGCTCGGCGATAATTTAGGAAGAAGGAATTTTGGAATTACAAAAGGATCCGCAATGGCTGCCTGCCAATACCACCCGACCATACTGCGTTCATGGCCTCGACGGAGGGCGAGTGAGGGACCCCATGATGAATGACCGTGATGATGATGATGATGATGATGATGATGAAGATGATGATGATGAAGATGATGATGATGATGATGATGATGATGATGATGATGATGATGATGATGATGATGATGCTGACCTTGATTCACTGCCGGCGTGGTGGGAATAACAAGCTTTCCAATTCAGCTGCGCGTCAGTTTGGAATGAAAGCCTGATTACGGATTGTTTACCTGCATTTGGAGCGTTTAATTACCGGCTGTACCGTTGTTTTGATCCCTGGTCCGATGGTGTGTTATTTTTGCAACTGAGTAAAACAGATTTAAAACATATTCATGCTTGGCATTCTTACTAAATAGCCACGAATTATCGGCGTTTTCCATGTATGATACATAAACCTCCGAAAAACGTTTCTTGGCACTATGCATTGAACACATTGCAAAAAGCGCCTTTGATGATTAAAACTACCGGGCTGGGGGATTTTTCCAGATTTTGGGCTTTTCGGTAGCCACTGCAAAAGATTCAATTGATAGTAACGCGTCTTGCGCTGAATTGGATAGCTTATATTTTTCAATCAAGCTTGAATTCTTTTTCCTAACGTTACTTGCCATTTTCCGATCTTGACAAGGTATGGGCAAATTTTATTCCCAATTACGCTTATTAATTACATTTACAATTTGTTCTTCATTTGATTGACGTCTCGCAACGCCTTCTCAATGATCGGGGTGTACACCTAAAAAAAGCGAGCTTGTCATTCTATTCTAGTCTTATCGCTAACCTCGGCAGCCGCCCGCTGGCCCCAGATAAAATCAAGGTGGTTGAAATCCTTGTAGTAGTTGTTCTCGATCAGATACTGTAAAACAAACAAGTTCAAGAAGTATGGACGGTACTAGCGATGCACTCAAAGTATTATTACTTACCTTGGGGTTATAATTAGGCAGGAGATGGTCCTGGATGTCCTGCTTGTCTCCGAGCCAGTCCGAGTCGGACCAGTAAAGATAGGTGGGGACGGCAATCTTGGAGACATCATAGATTGGGGGCGTGGTCTGAAAAAATCAATGGTTCGAAACTTAAGTAAGGTATCATTAATGCAGTATGATATCTGCCATCCACCTGTCCATAGTGTTGCTTATTCGCCGCCTCACTGCCCCAGTCGTACATCTGCTGGAGTCCGGTGTGCACCATCTGGACCCAGTGGAGAATGTTCTCCGTGGAGGTACCGCCGGGCATGTCGGAGATGTACACGGGCAGACGGGTCTGTAGATATACACTTTCCGAATACATATCAAAGCACAAAAAAATTACTTTTTGGAGGTTTGTAGCGAGCGCCTGGTTAAAAGCGTTTAAAAACACGAAATTCATACCGTGTTCATTTGGTTACTCTCGGGACCTCCGATCATAAACAGCAGATTTCCGCACAGCAGCTTCTCAGTGAGGTCGTTGCTGCAGAAGAGCTTCTCGATCAGGCGCATCAGACCGTCCTGGGGGAGGAAGGGGCCGTCGCCGAAGATTTTCTCGAAGATCTGAAGATTGACGTGAAGTTTTTGGTCTCGAAAGTTTTCTATTTTCCGTCTTATGAAATTCCGAGGTTTTTTACTTCATTTTGTGTAGCTTAGGAAACAGTCTGCAAATAGAATAGCCTGCCGTATACGTTGCGCCGGAAAATCATATTTACTGAATTCTATCCCGAATATAATAATGTTTTCACAAATAGCTTTCGTAAGACCAGTGGCCTGACCCTAAAAAAACAACAAACTTACATCAAGCTCGGGGGCAAAGTTCTTGGCGATGAACTCGAGCAATCCCTTGATGTGCTTGACGGTTCCGACCGGAGCCAGGGCGTGGAATTGGCGGATCTGGAGGTGCGAGTTTGAGAGAAAATCCAAGCAAAGTCGGTCGTAGCTTCTGAACTAGCGCCCACCTTGGTCTGGAAGTCCAAGTTAACAGCCAAGTGGCTGAACATGATCAGCGTTCCCTGGGAGTGTCCAACGTAGTAGAGGTGGTCTTGTCCGGTGGTGTTGAGCGCGTGGTTGATCATCGTCGGCAGATCGTACTTGACCATCTCGTCCCACCTGAAACAAATTTAGCCCAACTTGAAAAATCATGGGAGTCTTGGAATCTGTAATTTTCGGAAAGCTCCAAGACTCACGAGAATCGCCAGAAGGCCTTCGACTTGGGGTCGAGGGTCTTGTGTCCGATGGAGTACTCGTCTCCACGGACATTTCCCATCCATACATCAAAGCCAGCGTCGGCAGCCATGAAGCCTGAAACTTATCGTATTAAAGGAAACAAGGTGAGCGCGCTCGCAGCCTGGAAGCACCCAGAACGTCTCCAAGCTGTGCAGCGGCTTTCAAATGATAAACAAGGCTAGAAAGCCACGCACCCATGGCCAACGACGGCAAATTGGTGATCCAGTTTGAGGATGAGGCCTCGAGTCCATGCTGCAGGAACATGACGGGGCGGGTCTTGCCGTCGTCTTGGTCTTAAACCTTTTAGTCACAGGGTTATGGTAGTGTTCTCACTCTTTCCATGCCGAATCCGGTGCATCGTGAGCATGTACCCGTCATCGGTGTAGACCTGGATCGTCTCACACGGGTACCCCCAGTGGGCGATGATCTCGGGCTAAAGGGGGAAGTCCTGATGATAGTTCGGATCTAACAAAGGTGAATGCTCATTTCATGTCGTGTTCAATGCGTAGGGCCAAAAATTCGGAGGTTTGTACCACGCGACTTTTACAAATAGTTCTGCCAAGGCGCGGCTTCAAGCGGTTTTCGAATTTTGCGATCTGACATAGAGGTCCAAGAGAGCTTGAAATTTAGAAAAATCTCGATCTCTAAAAAATGCCGTTCGACTATGGTCTTCCTCAATTTTCTCTGAAGCGGAAGATTTTGTTAATTTTGGCACGTGCCTTGAAAATGTAAACTTTGAGACTTAAAGTTAAAATTACACGTAAAATTTTCTCACAAAGACTGTCCCGGTCCAACAGTTTTTTCAAAAAGCTGACTTTCAACAGAATTTCAACTTTAATGAATATGCTACATTGCATCGCAAAGCTACAAAAGCGCTTAAAAACAGCACTTCAATGTTGGTTCCATGTGGTTCAAACAGGTAATTTTTTGTATTGTTGAATTCACAGGGTGAAAAATGCAGCGGTTTTTACAACACAATTTTAAACAACTATTTTAGCCTTACTTCAGATAAAATTTCGAGACAACTTTCAGAACCTACCGCCTTCATGTTGGCCTCCGAGTCACCGGCCATAGCCAGCGCTAACAGCGCCGAGGCGGCTGCGAGGTAACCAAGCATCCTTAAGAAAGCAAATTAGTCAAAGCCCCAGAAAAACGAGCCAAAACTCATGAACTTTTGCATCAAACCAGCTAAAAAAAATTCGAAACTACGGTAAACAGCGCAAAGACCGGAACGGCAGTGTGGACTCTCCCGTCAAAGCCCGGCTTCCGCTATCGGCTTCTGCCGGCTTCGGAGGCATTTTTTTCAGGGGCGGCCCCCGTTATCTGCGATGTGACGACCACATGGCACCCTGAATTCCGGGGGGTTGATCCGGGTGATTTATTGCCGGAAATTTCGCGGGGGTCGTAGGCACGAAGTACCAAAGAACGGAATCAGAACTGATTGACGCGGGTGGTGGTTGCAGAAGGTGTTTACATTCGGGGATTTAGAGGATGTATACAATTTTCCAGGAATCGGATGCTGCTGCTGCTTGCCGATCGTTTGCGTCGTCGGCGGCGTCACCTACTGCTTGACAAAGCGGGTTTTTCACCACATTTTAACAATAGATTTCCAGAGAATCTTTTTGTTTTCCGTGATCTTTTTGCTTTTAGGCAAGGCGACAAGAAGGCTCGGTTCCCTCAATGACAGCTGAAGGCCATCCTCTCCTGAATTTAAGCCAAGCAACGATTTCTTGTAGAAATTTCTACTCTTTCAATCTGCGAATAAATATAATTTAATTTTTTCTTGTTGTTTTTGACTTTTGCGAAAGTTTCTGTGCGCTCCCCTACCACTAAATGCATTCAGACGATTTGCATGAAACAAATACATATCGTAATTGAATCTCTATTCGATCGGAGGTCATCGGCCGATTTCAAAGTCCGGATGTTCTGCTCATTCTTTCGCGATGGGCTATCGCGTCGGCCTGACGACGCTCCTCCGGGTGCTGATGTTCGACGTGGTCGCCTACTCGTACAAGGATGGGAATACCGCAAAGAAGGTCCGTCGCAGGGGTTTTTGCCTGAAGTTTAGGGCCCGCGGCTACTTTTCAACTTTTTTTCTGAATTATTCGGTACTGGACTGTTAGCGGAGGGGGTGTTAGCAAGGGGAACTCACTTTTGTTTTTCTGCCTACAAATACTTGCCGACAATATTTAATATGTTTTAATAGTGTCTGTCCTATTTTTTTTGGTTGCCAAAGCGCGTCCTAGGCTCTTACCGTTTTTTTTGGCCTTGAAGGTCAGAAAAACACCACTTTTCCAGGACGACGCTGCTGATTTGGTGTTCGTGCTCACCGTCATCATATTATTTTGTAGGTTTTTTGAAGCCTTTGGGTACCGCCGAGCTTGGTTTCATATCACCGCCTATCTTCTCCAGGTTGCACCACCGGTCTGCCCATTTGCATCGTCATTGGCCTCATCATCGTGTGCGTCGTGAAGTGGGTAGTTTAGGCCTTTGTTGGTCCAAGGATGGTTCTTTCGCTTTTCCGCTTAGAAAATGATTACTTTCCAGGAAAAAAGACGGTGGCAACAGGTATCCGGCTCCAACGGCGGCTCCATCAACAATCCAATTACTGATCTACGCTATTTTCGATAAATGTCGTATTCTTCTTTTGAGATGTGCACCATGGTTTAACGCATCTTTCATGAGTTTGCAAGAGAAGTGGCCTAACTGGAGCCGCTCAATCATCGATGCACGTTAATAACACGCCGATGGCCAGGATGCAGGAGACGCTGGTGTTTCAGCACATCTTGATGGTCCCGTTTCTTTCCGGAAAAACATCCTCCGTTAAGTGCCTATTCAACCGTCACGACTTCGAAACGATAGGTATTCATTTCGTATTCAATTCAAGATGTTGACGGATATGCAACGAACAGCTGAACCGTAGCATAACGTTGGCGCTGGAATGGTAGTAGCAAGCATGATACCTATCCCTATTTGCATG